AAAAAAAAAAAAAAAAAAAAAAAAAAAAGCTAAGTGAAATAAGTCAAGCTAAAAACAAACAAACAAACAAAACCAACTCAAATAACATATGATTCAATTTATATGGAATGCCTAAAGTAGTCAAATTCCTATGAGATAGAAAGCAGAATGGAGCCAGGCGGTGGTGGCGCACGCCTTTAATCCCAGCACTGGGAGGCAGAGGCAGGTGGATCTCTGTGAGTTCAAGGCCAGCCTGGACTACAGAGTGAGTTCCAGGAAAGGCGCAAAACTACACAGAGAAACCCTGTCTCGGGGGAAAAAAAAGAAAGAAAGAAAAGAAAAGAAAAAAGAAAGAAAGCAGAATGGAAGGTACCAGAGTCTGTGGGAGAAAGGAATGGGAAGTTCCACTTTTAAAAGACACCTGGAGATTGGTTATACAATACTATGGATACACATAACACCAATGAATTGTTTAGTGAAAAAGAACCAATATAATATACTTACTTGTATTTTGTGTTTTGATACAATTAAATAAAACTTAACTCCTTGCATTTTGCCATCATAAGGAGAGAGAGCAAAAAAGCATAGTGAATTATGGTGTTTTAAAAAGATGAAGGCGTAAAATTCTCTGTATAACTTATTTTCCCAACCTACCATCTAAATCATCAAGATTAAGCTGAGAAATCTAAAGCCAAGTGCCCACCCAAGTAAACAGCAGAGGCAGGCACAATCCAGGGGGAGGTAGCTTCATACTCCCCGATCCTTCCGCTGTTGAGGTCCCAGGTAAAAGGGGCTCAGCAGACCGGAATCTGTACCTGTGCACGTATGAGTGACGTCACTCCAGGAGCCTTTCTCCGTGCAAACAGAAGTGATCGTTCCTCCGGAACTCTCAAAGCCCTCCTGACAGACATAGTGAGCCACACTGCCCAGGTTGGAGGTGTGATTGCCCACCAAGATGGCATTCTGGACTTCAAGAGGGCTGCCACAACTGATCTCTGCAATGAGAGGCAACAGGACACCTGTGAGGAGCCCTGACTTCCATGCCTGCAATTAGGATCTCAGAAATAAACATTTCATGATGACAGAGGCCATTCATCTGGGAAAAAGAGAAAACACAAACTCCTTCAAATGGTTCAAATATAATTATATAAAATTAAGGTTGTTCAGAAGTACAGGAAACTGGTATGCCTGGATTTAATGAAATTTTCAAACGTGCACACAGAGAGAAGAGACAAATTATGAGATGGCTTACTCATGGAGCTCCTTGTCTATGAAATAATACTCCTTAGGGTTCATTTGCATTCTAAAGTTCTGTAGAACTTTTTACTATGTATCTTCAAATCATTAACTCTTGAAAGTGCATTGTAGCAACTGTTGTCAACTGAATATAAATAAAATATTACAAAATCCTTGACATTCTTACAGCAAAGCAATACAGAAAGTGTTTCTCTTCCTACATTCAACTTACAGGCAATTCTCAAGGGAAAAGGACACCTGCAGAGAGACAGATCAGAAAGTATTGAACTGATGTGAAATTTCTCTTCTACAACCTTAAAAGCTAGTGGACAGTTTACACAGAACTTTATACGAAAGAAAAAGTATGATGTAACCATCTCAGTCCATCCAAACCAGACCTCAGAACACAAGGCAGTCATCTTCAGATACTTTTAACTTTCAAAAACATCCTGTGTACCTTTTCTGACAAAAATTCAAAACAATTTAATAAAACACTGACTTTACAAACACTTGTAAGGCCAGCACTTAGGGGGCTGAGGTAAGAGACTGAAAGTTCAAGGCCAGCCTGGGCTGCAGCGTCAAACACTGTCTCCAAACTCAATACTTGTTGAATGAACACATTATTTCTTAACCCTCCTCCTCTTGCCCTATGGCTGCAGACATTGTTCATGGCCTCTGAGGGTTTTTGGTTTTTTTTTTTTTTTTTCAGTTTTTTCTTTAAATTTCACTGATTGGCATGACTTCAATGATAGGGTTCACCTTTCAGATGTAAGCCTACTTTGCCAACATCCTTTTGCCGCCCCCCCCTTTCTTTAAATCATTTCAGAATAAAAGGACATAAAACATACAAATAAGCCGGGCGGTGGTGGCGCACGCCTTTAATCCCAGCACTCGGGAGGCAGAGCCAGG